AAACACACACACACACACACACACACACACGCACACTGTTCCCTCACAAGAACTGCAACCCCTTCCCCTTTCCCCCCTGTCCTCCTCTTCCCTCCACCCTTTCCTCTCCCCCTTTCCCTTTCTCAACACCCGCAGGTGGAGCACGACGTTCAAGCAGTCGATTGCCAACATTGGCCATGTGCTGCTGGTGCTCATGCCGTGGCGAGACCCTGTTCCCTTGACACGCGCGTGGTGTTTGTGGGAGATCTTCTGTGGCATCAGCAACGAGGGCACAGAGGTCACCATCCAACTGCCCAAGAGCGAAGAACAGGCGCTCGAAGACGCTATTCGCGACAGCTATAAAGCCGTCACAGACACGCTGGTGCGCGTGCAGGCAGAGCGAGCCGACGCCTTCAACCCACATGACAAGCACATGATCTTCACAGCGATCGAGTCGTGGGCGGGCGGATTTGGCGCAGTCAACCAAGCCGTGAAGGACCAGCTGCGCGCGTGGTGCCTGCAAAAGGCGGTGGGTGCCGTCGAAGCAATGCGAGCACGAGGCGAGGACAGCACAGGGGCGTTCGCTGGGCTGTGCAACCACGTTGGGTCGGTGCTGAACGACTTTGGCGAGCACGATCGCGCCATTGCCTACTACGAGACAGCCCTAGCAATTCGGCTACGCACCGAGGGGGAGAAAGGGGGGAACGTGGCGCCGACACCTTCGGCAACCTCGGTATCGCCTACGCCAGCAAGGGCGAGTACGACAAGGCGATTGCGTACTACGAGAAGGCCCTCGCCGTCTTCGTGGAGACGCTGGGCGAGAAGCACCCAAGCACAGCGAACACGTACAACAACCTCGGCCTCGCATACGACAGCAAGGGCGAGCATGCCAGAGGCATCCACTACTACGAGAAGGCCCTCGCCATCAGGGTGGAGACGCTTGGGGAGAAGCACCCGAGCACAGCCACGTCGTACAACAACCTCGGCAGCGCCTACCACAGCAAGGGCGACTACGACAGAGCCATTGCGTTTTACGAGAAGGCCCTCGCCATCAGGGTGGAGATGCTGGGGGAGAAGCACCCGAGCACAGCCGATTCGTATCTGGGCCTCGGCAACGCCTACTACAGCAAGGGCGAGTACGATAAGGCGATTGCGTTTTACGAGAAGGCGCTCGCTATCACGGTGGAGACGTTGGGGGAGAAGCACCCGAGCACAGCGAGCACGTACAACAACCTCGGCAGCGCCTACTACAGCAAGGGCGAGTACGACAAGGCGATTGCGTTTTACGAGAAGGCGCTCGCTATCACGGTGGAGACGTTGGGGGAGAAGCACCCGAGCACAGCGAGCACGTACAACAACCTCGGCAGCGCCTACTACAGCAAGGGCGAGTACGACAAGGCGATTGCGTTTTACGAGAAGGCGCTCGCTATCACGGTGGAGACGTTGGGGGAGAAGCACCCAAGCACTGCCGATACCTACGGCAACCTCGGCATCGCCTACCATAGCAAGGGCGACTACGACAGAGCCATCCACTTCCACGAGAAGGACCTCGCCATCACGGTGGAAGCGTTGGGCGAGAAGCACCCGAGCGTAGCCACGTCGTACTTCAACATCGGCCTGCTCTATGACAAGCGCGGTGACAAGGAGCAGGCCTGCGCCTACATTCAGCACGCGCTCGACGTTTTTGCGACCACGCTCGGGCCAGACCACCCACACACCCTCAAGGCGGAGCGCAACCTGCGGCGCATTCGCGGTGGTGCTGTGACTAGGCAGCACACATCCACGCAACACGTGTCAGAGTCTCGACTTCAGCAGCAACAGTGCTTGCTCATCGCAACCTTCTTCTTCGGTTCATCTCTTCTGCTGTTGTGTACCAGTCGTCTGCTCCACAACGCAACCTGCTCATGCGATTTCTCGGTGCAGTTGCACATGCTGACGTTGACGCAAGACGCCCAGCAAACACGGGCAGCGACGGTGAGGACAAGAAGACAGGGACTGGGCGAGATGCTCCTCGTGGCTGCTCTGTACCAGCAAGGGCGATGTACGAGGACGCTTGCGAGTGCCCTGGTGAGCCACTGGCCGGCTGGTTGCGGAAGCGTGGGCGACGGAGGGCCGCCTTTCGCCCGTGCTGGTGCAAGCTTGACGACGACCGCCTGACGTACAGCAAGGGTCCTTCCCTGGCAGAACGTGGGCGCATCCCCCTTTCCAGCGTGCTGTCAGCTGAGCTCGCCCATGGTGGCGAGGAGTTACACGTCGCTGTTCCCGGCCGCACCTTCGTCTTCCGCCTGCACGCGCGCTCTGACACCTCGCTCGCTGACTGGTGCACTGCCACCAACAGCCGGATCAACGCCACCACTTGACTGTGTGCTGTGTGTGTGTGTGTGTGTGTGTGTGTGTGTGTGTGTGTGTGTGTGTGTGCTTGCTGGTTTGCCTCTTTGCTCCTTTGCTCCTGTCTTTCCTTCACGTGCTTGCTTTCCCCTTGCTTTTACTTGCTTGACGTTGCTTGTTTCACACTTCAGTAAACTCATCACGCAATCAACCAGCTGACGAGCAACGAGCATACAACCTATCACGTCAACCAAACAAGCAAGCAGGTCCTCTTTCACTCCCACGTCCACGCCCACAACGCCCGCCTTGCGCATCAGGGTGCGGCTGGTGGAAAAGTAGTTCCATCAGCACGTGAATGTGTGGGGGCATCGGCAGCGGGTTCGGCCGCTCAGCGTGCACAACGCCCAGCAGCCTGTCGGGAGGGCTGGGTCGCCAGCCTGTCCTCGTTGTCCGTCCGCGACCGTGCGGAACAGCACGTCGTCGCTGCAGGCCCACGCTAGTCAGGGATGCGCCCAACTCTCGTGCTGCACCTCCACCACCGTCTCCTCCTCGGGGTTCAGGTTGCCCGTCCCCAGCGACAGGACCCACCATGCCAAAGGGCTGCAGCGACATCAGGAACGTGAAAGGTCCGCGTTCCGGCAGCGCGTTTTCGCTATCTTGTCTCCACGTCGGTCTTGCTGCGCATCATGCCCGCGAACTCGGCGGCAATCCCCGACGGCAGCTGCAGCTTCATCTCGAACGGGGGCCTGCAGCGTCTTCTGGCTGACGACCACGTGCGTGCCCTTGCCCACCTCGCGCGCGCGCGTGTCCTCGGGCGAGACGTTAGAACACGCCACCCGTGTTTGGGGCACACCCGTCCGTCTGCGCAAACCACAATCGTGTTGACGTGTGTTGTCGTGCTGGAGCGTGCGCTTGGGGTTCCAGCGGCCCTCACACATGCCGGGGTCGGCGAGCGACCTGAACCCAAACGGCCGTCGGCAGCGGTGGTCGATGGTGAGTCCGCTGTGCCCGTTCACGCATCCTGACAGGTGTGCTTGCTCTTGATGGCTGTTGGTGCTGGTGGTTGGGGAAGAAACGACGCCACGGTAGACAGGCAAATGACTGGGCGTGGATGTGGAGACGTGGTGGCAACGGAGCATGTCAGCTGAACGCACTTGTCGGCATAGATGAGCTGCAAGGCCTGCAACAGCGAGGAGAGATGGTTGCCTGTTGGACAAGCGAGGAGACGGGTGAGTGATGGATGAGGAGGAGCACGACAGGTCCACACGGGGAACTCAGGTGAACCGCAAACAAGGGCGCAAACAAGGGCGCAAACGCACGCACGCACGCACACACGAACACACCGTCGATGGAGATGTCTGCGGCGTTGGCAAGAGCGAGCCAGGTGCGGGTGACGGTGATGGCAGCGATGGTGCCGATGCATTTCAGCTCTTCATTGAATTGAGACAGCTGCCGTACACGGGGTGCAATGCAGAAGGAATGGTTGCGGTGGTGTTGGTAGTGGTGGTGGTGGTAGTGAAACGGGTGACAGACGCTCTTCATGGAAGGACATTATGTTATCCAACACACCTTCCCCACCGCACAAGTTCACACACACACACACACACACACACACATTCAAACACACACACACACACACACACACACACACACACACACACACACACACATACACACACACACACACCATCTTCCTCTGAGGCCTGCGGCTGCGGTGCGCTGGCGGTCAAACGTGAGCGTGGTCAGGATACGGAAGAGCTGCCGAATGTGGATGAAGTGCGGGTTGCCCAGGCAGTCCAGGATGCCGTTCAGCATGAGCGCAAACGGGTGCAGCAGCTTCGGGTCATCTGGGGCCAGCGACAGTAGCAGCACAGGCATGGCTGCGTCCACCTCCTGTGCTTGCCCCCGTGCCAATGTGCGCCACTAGCGCCCCGACCACCTCCGGCCGTGGAGGCGAGGTGGCGGCTGCCGCCGGTTCAGGATGTTGGCCATGTGCACAATCACATCAAGAATGCGCGCGTGTGTCTGGCAAACATGGCTGCAGCCATGACGGCGGTGAGCCGGCCCGTGCTTGCAAGCTTGATGACGGTGGTCTCCGCGCCGCGGCGGTGGGCGTTCTGGTGCTTGGTGAAGCAGCAACAGCACAAGCAGATCGAGGGCGGTGATTGGCTGGGCCGTGGTCGTCTTGAGTTGGCCGCAGCCACGCCTTTGCAATGTGTGCATCAAAATGCCAGCCCGTTCTTGATGGCAGCCACCACAGGCAAACACATCGTGATCATCACCCCGTTGTTGGTGCTGGCCGTGTGCATGGTGGAGGAGTCAGCGATCATGTTCGCTGTCAGCGCATTCACATCCATTCCATCCGCTGAACATCAACGTGCATGTGTGTGAGTGTGTGCGAAGGCATGTGAGGGAGCGGCTGTGAGAGAACAAGCCACAGCGACACGTGCAGGCGGGCGCGTGTGAGATCGCAATCACACAGTCACACACTATGGCATCATCTTCCACTCCTCGCCGCCCTCAACAGTACCGCCACCACCTTGCTGCATGAGAAACTTGATGACGATTGGGAGGCACGCTGTACTGTACGATCCAAGCTGGCTCAACACGTGGTCGCAGATCTCGCGCAGGCACGCCTGCGCCACACTGCACAGTAGGGTGTATGTGGGGGAGGGGGAGGGGGAAAGATGGTGAGGGATGGTGGTGGAATGGCTGCGTTGCAATCCAAGAACTTAGTGGCTGAGGAACACACCACAGATACACAGCATCATTGACAACACCACCACCAACATCATCAACGTCGTGTTCGTACTTGAGGTCTGAGAATGCGTCTAGGATGGCCGGCACCAACGACGGCTGTGTGTGTGTGTGTGTGTGTGTGTGTGTGCTGTGTGTGGTGGGAGGGGGCAATGACGGACGAGCGCATTGCGTCGTGACACCCACACCAAGCAAGGCTGGCATACCAAGGGTGCACATCAACGACAGGTGAACAAGCCATAGTGTCGCTCGCATGTTCCAGTCATTGTTGTTGGCTTGCGCTCACCTCACTGTGCTGATGAAGCAGGTGTTGTTGGCAATGGTTGTGATGTTGTCCTTCACATCATCACTCTTCTTACTCATATATGTGTGTGTGAGCTGTCTTCTTGCTTGTCTCTGCTGTTCTTTCTACAACCAGCTTTGTTTCTGTGGTAGTTGCTGTGGTTGCTTTCCTCGTCCGCCACTGCCCATCATCATCTGCATCGCTGCAGACAGCAACCAAAGAAATGCCAACACCACCACCACGCAGGTTTGTTTGTTCTTCCACATGACATGTGTGTGTGTGTGTGCTTTGATGAGTTGTTTCGTCAACAGACATGTTTCCCTCACCATCACCATCACGTGTTCGTGTTGTCGCAGACGAGGCACAAGCGCATAGCAACGGCAATGTGGTGCCTCTCACTCACTCACTCACTCACACACACACACACACACACACACACACACACACACACACACACACACACACACACACACACACACACACACACACACACACACATGGGCCATGCACTGCGGCATGGTGAGATGCAGACACCAAGCTACCAAGGGGGTGCCAGTTGAGAGCATCATCATCTTTCCCTGTTACACCAGCTGCCCTGAGGTGAGTGCGTGCTCGTGTATGTGCGTGTGTGCTTGCGTGTACGCGTGTGCGTAACACCGCGTGTTTCCAAATCGTGTATCAAGCATGATGGTGCCATGGTGTATTGAAGGTGGCGATGCGCTGCGCATGCTGAACCTCAGACCTCGGCTTCACTTCCCTCCCTTGTCCCTCACTGCCATCATCATCACCTTTACCATCACCGATGTGCGTGTACAAGGAAGGCGTTGTTGCGCAGGGGCTCGTCAAGTTCAGCAGCCGCTACAGGCCCATCCACCAGCTCTTCAACTTCAACGTAGGTGCAGAGGAGTGTGTGTGTGTGTTATGTGTGTGTGTGTGTGCGTGCGTGCGTGCGTGTGTGTGTATGTGTATGTGTGTGTGTTCAGACAACACGTCGATTGATGAGATTTCAACTCGCCTGTATGCACACTCACCTACTATCTTGATCCATACACACGAACTCCCCTCGACATACAATATCACACAACCTGTTGACAGCAAGTGTGTGCTGTACGAGAAGCTGCTGCTGGAGAGCGTGACGATGCGCACGGGCGCCAACGTCCACGTCATTGTGCCGCACACCACCAACTCATGCAGCGACGGCGGCGACGCAGAAGCAGGTATGTGTGCTGTGTGCACGTGCGTGTGTGTGCATTTGTGTAGCTTGCACTATCGATTCCACCCTGTCCGAAAACATTGTCGCATCACCACTCAACATCCCTTCTTTCATCTTCTTTTTCTGTTCTCAGGTGGCGGCATCCCCATGTGCACGCTGCACAACTTCCTGCACGCATGGAGTGGGTGCGGGCCAAGTTCACGGACCTGTTTGTGAGTCCGGTATCGCAGCTGCAGCAGTTCCTGGAGGACCCTGAGGGGTTCATCTCCTCTCGGGCCTGGAGACGAAGATTGAGCAGCGCGTGGGTGGCGAGCGGATCGGCGCCCTGGAACGCAGCGTGGACATGCTCAAGGCCATCAAAGACCTCGCCGCACAGGTGCTGGTGTTGTTGTTGTTGTTGAAGGTGGCAGCGTGTGGTAATTGTGTGGTAATTGTGTGATGGATGTGATGGAGGTTTGTCCTGCTTATGAGGGTTGACACCACCACCGAACCACCACCACCACCACCACCACCACCACCACCACCGACACGTTCTTTCCTCAGCTGCAAGAGAAGCCGACGATGGAGACGTGAGTGTCGCTGGCGTGGCGTGACTTTCACGCGTTTGTCCGCCACGTCATCCTGCAACTCATCGCCACCTTCCCCGCAGGCGCAAAGACCAAGAGTGGAGAGCCCTTTTGGTCAGGTGAGGACTCGCGTGTGTGCATGCGTGTGTGTGTCTGTGTTTGTGTGTGTGTGTGCGTGTATGTGTGTGTGTGTTCGTTCTGGCAGCACCACCCACACCGCAACTGATCGCGTGTTTGCCTCGTTCCATTGTTCCTCACCTTTCGTGTGTTGTGCCCATATAGGCCACAAGATCTTCCCCGAGGCGCTCGAGTTTGATCCGCAGAATCCGCTGCACAAGGCGTTTCTGATTGCCGTCACCAACCTCTACGCATGCGTCTTCAAGGTGGGCTGGCTGTGGGGTGCCTTGTTTGCTTGGGGGTTAGATGGTGGTGGCGGTTGCTTGGGGTGAGGTGGTGGTGGCGGTTGTGTGCAGTCGTTTTATGCTAACATCACTGCCTCATCTGCGACGATGTTCAGGTGCACCCGACCAAGTACCCGAGCGAGGAGAACAAGCTCCACATCAAGCGGTGAGCCGTGATGTGTGTGTGTGTGTGTGTGTGTGTGTGGGTGTGGCGCATCCTGAAGCTGCTGCTCTTCCACTGCAACAGTTGTTCCTTTCTCTTCTGTCAAAGCCTCTTGTGCTTTGACCTTTCTTTCGTGTTCCGTCCACGTTGCGTGCGCTGGCTCAGTTCTTTGGCTCACACCATCGACACACTTCAATACAGCCACTCATCCATCCAACAACACTTCCCTCTCAACACAAACCACGAATATACATCGCACATCCATTTCAGCACCAGTCTTCCCAGGACATCAAGAACATCAAGCAGCCAAGCAGACACGCACTCCTACCCTCGTCTCTCTCAAGCTGCTGGCAGCTGTCCTTCTGCTTCTTCTGAGCAGGGCGGCTACTCCTACGTCAACGCCAGTCCCGATGGCCGCCTGCTGGTAGCTGAGTCGTTTGTGTGGGGCATGCACGGGCTGGCGTGCAAGCAGCGCATGCCCGTCACAGCAACCGACATGGTGTGGACCAAGGACGGCAAGCACCTCATCTGCCCCTCTTACTCCCCTACTCCCGCGTGTACATGTGCGGCCTCGGTGCACATGAGGCTGAACGCACAGTCATCTTCGGGGATCTTTCCTGGCGCTGAACTTGCATGCGCCGCCGCTTCCGATGGGACCCTGTGGGTCACCGAGAGGTGGCAGAAGGTGCCCTACGAGTGCAAGCTGCACCGCGTGCCAGACCTCAAGTGCCTGGCGGTTGTGCCGTCCACCTTCGAGCACACGCGCTACATGGCAGTCACGCCCACCCTGTACATCGCGGGCAACAAGACGGGCGTCATCTCTTTGTGGCAGCTTGGTGAGCCATCGACCTTGCTTGCAGAGTGGAGGGCTGATGTTGTCGGTAATGGCGAGGAGACGATACAAGACGTGGGCGGAGAAGAAGCGAGAGGGGAAGTAGAGGCGGAAACGGCAAGCAAGGAGCGCGTGCGCACTGCCGTGGATGCGTTGCGTGTCACCCCTGATGGCCGCTTCCTAGTGACTGCGTCCACCTCCACCGACTTGCGCGTGTGGGATCTCAGCACCCTCACATCCACACGATCAGCAACAACACAACATGAAGGGACAGCAGCAGTGGCACCAACAACAACAACAGCAACAACAACAACGACACGCCCGTTTGTATTTGTCGTGCGACGTTGGTACAACCCAAAGAGGTCACGGGCGTTCATGTCCTGCACATCACAGTGTTTGCGGACAGCAGCAACAAGCTTGCTAGCGCGTGCGGAAACACAGTGCACGTCTGTGCCATTGACCACCACCAGCAACAACAACAACAACAGCAGCAGCAGGAGGAGCACCACCAGCAGCAACAACAGCAACAGCACGTAAACGGCAGCAGTGGTGGCGTGAGCAGTGCGCTGACGCGTGTGGCGGTGTTGGATGACTTGTTTGTGGACGAGGCAGAGCCGAACGCCAACATGACCGCCGCCACCATGGCCACCCACCCAACTGATGACAGCCTGCTGGCGATTGACACTGCGCGAGATGACGTGTTTGTTGTGTGTGACGTCGCCGACCACAAGGTCCTCAGCAAGCTCAAAGTGAGCAGAAACGCTCCGGTCAAGTTCGGCGTCTTTGCCCGTCGCAGCAGCATCTTGTTCGTCAACTCTGTTGAGAGCGTGATCAAGTGCGACTACAGTACGGGGCAGCACACCACCATATTGCATCGCAATGACAGAGCAGATGATATGGTCGTGTGCTATCACCAGCACCCGCTCACTGTTTCAAGCAGCGTTTTGCAAGGCAGGGTTGCCCTGTGGGCGCTGGGACCGACCCTGAACCGCGCCATGATCCTCCACACAGCCGTTTGACCTGTGCCACCTCCGCCCAACAACAGACCCCAGATGCCGCCCCTACGCCATTGTGCCCGTTGTTGTTCCACCAGCAACACCTCCCGCAGAAGCGCATTGCCGTGCTGCCATCATCTGCCAAGCATTTTGACATGGCAAAGAAGATGATGGAGGCTGCAGCGTTGTCTTCTTTTGTCCTGGACTGCCTAATCCATCTGGCATAATCGCGGTGGTGCTGGACGCATTCTGCTTCATCACACAGGCCATCCGCGAGACACGGTGCAAACGACAACAGCACCACCAGCTGACAAGGATGGCAACCAAGTGCAGCTGACACTGGAGGGACTTGCTTGAAGCACTGGTGCGAGGCGTTCAAGTACAGCAACAACAGCAATAGCGCCATGGACTGACCTGCTTCGTGTGTCTTTTTTGCCCCTGCAGTGGTTGCCTCCCTTGACACATTGCGTGTGTGACAAGTTTGACAGGGGTGGTTTGTGGATGCCTGCGGCCTTGTCGTTGTTGTTGATGCAGGCCACCTTGCATTTGGTTGTTTGGCTGCATTGCAAGTGGCACCATGCGATGCTGCTGGTATCTTGAGCAGTGTCGTGTTCTGGTTCTGCTTTCCTCTCTTGCTTGGATAGAAGGTGAAGTGGTGGGCCATGTGCGTGTTGGTGTTGCTTGTGTGCCTGTGTGAGGGCTGTTGTCGTCTCTTCATGTCTTTGGCACTGTCCCACTGTACTGTTGGGAAACGATTGAACATGCAAGGTGGAATCACCACAACACAGCAGCAGCAACCAACCACACAACACTGACAAGGGAGAGTGGCAGAGCAGAGAACAGCAAGAGGGAAGGAAGGCAGGGAGGAAGGAAGGAAATTGAGTATGCACGGCGTGCATGTGAACATACAGCCAACGCAGTGGCAACAACAACGATGCATCATCAAACACCGCATGGCACACTGCAACGCTGCTCTGTCGATGGCCGGTCTGAGGGTGGAAGAACGAGGTACACGCGTGTACCAGCCACGACGCGGTGGCTCTTCAGATGGGAAGTGATTTGATTGGCAGCCGTCTCGTCATCGCCATCATCGGTGTGTGCTCAAATGCCAATTGCACAGCAAAGCACAAAGGGAGGGTGACTGCGTGCCGTGCAACCCCACATACATCCATCTTCTTCTTAATTGCTGTTGTCGCTCATCGCAACAACTGCTGTTGTCAGCGGTGGCACCAACAACAGCCAGCACATGCGTGCTCACCAGAACCACAGTGGCCACCTCCTTGTTGTTGCTGGAACCAGTGAGGAATGCAAACACAATCACCACCTCATCAGCTGTCGCTGCTGTTGCCATGGCGTGCGCCACCACCACACCACCACCACTGCTGCTAGCGTCTCTCCCAACAACGCCGTGGTAGTCCAAGAGCCAACAGCATCCAATGCCTTGAGCAGTTTGCTGTCGTTGGTGGTGGTGGTGGCAGCAGTGTTTGCATGATGATGCGGGAGGTGAAGGTGGCATGTGCTGACAGCACTCGATCACAGCGTGTGCGATGATGGTGGCTGTTGTTGCTGTCCTGGTGGAGGATGTGGCGTCCGCGTGCAATCGCAAGCGTGCGTGCGTGCGTGCCAGTGGCTGCAGCAGTTGCTGTGTGTAATGGGTGGGATCGCGTGTGCACCCGTGCAACCAAAGGGACGAGTCGTCCAGGAACGCGTCGGCCTCGCACGGCGATGCGGTGAAGGCCATGACGGTAATGTCGCCAGAGACGGACCGGTTGAAGAGGCGAGCCGTAAAGTCCTCGTTGATGGAAGCGACGGTGGCAATAATGGTGCCCTGGCGCAGGTCGATGCGCAGAATGAATCTGCGACGCGTCCTGCGTCGTGGTTGATGGACTGCACCAGCGCGGCCTCAAACGCCTCGTGGCGCGACTGCGTGTCGGCAAGGGCGTTGAACTTGGCGTCAAAGACGAGCGAGACAGAGTACGCGGGCACGCACGCACGGTGGGAGCACCTCAAGCTGCGTCGCTGATGGTGGTGCAGAGGCAGTCCGTCGTGGCCGTGGGCGCTGACACCTCGTACTCCGTGTGCTGGCACGAGCGCACGCGCTGGCACTCGCGGTCGTTGACCAGCGACGGCGCAACGAGCTCGTACTCTGTTAGACAGGCACTGCGTCCACGGCGAGCAGATGCCTGTGGTTCTGCGTCGTGGGCGTGAGCGGGCACGAGATGAACGTGCTGTTGTTGGGGCACGTGCGGCCCATCTGGCACTCGCGGTCCATGCCGCTGGTGGTGGGCGCGGCCGTCTCAAACGAGCCAGGCTCGCAGGGCGACACACGCGCGTGGAGAAGTCCGTGTTGCTGTCGCGGTAGAACAGGGCCTCGATGCAGCGGCGGTACTGGCGGTCCGTGAAGATGGTGGGGCGCACCATCTCCTCGTAGCCGAGGTCGCACTCCGTCACAGGTGTGCAATCGCGCTGGGCCAGAGAGGGAGGCAAAGTCCACGCCAGCCTGGCACGGCGTACACGGCGTGTGCTGGCGTTGCGGCGGTCCAGGTCGGCGGTGCCGGCTGGGCACAGGAACTGCTCGCAGGAGCCGATGGAGTCCGCAGGCACATAGTGGCCGCAAGGGCACGGCTGGCAGGCGGTGAGCGGGTTGCGGTCGTGGTCGGTGCTGCCGATGGGGCACGGCTCGCACTTGGCGTCGGAGGTGGAGGTGGGCGCACGCATGCGATGCTCGCCAGGGTCACACTTGGTGATGAGGTGACACAGGCGGTGCGCTCGTACTCCGTCGACGGGTTGCACTGGGTCAGGTCGCGGCAGATGCGATCTATGGTTGGCGTGAGAGCGGGGAACAGCTCAAACTGGTCCTGGTCGCACACGTCCAGCGTCGTGCACTCTGTGTCGTTGGTGGCGGTGCATGGCGCGCTGCGGTACTGCTCATCGGAGCACATGCTGCACTGCTGGCACGACACGTCGTTCTCTGAGTTGCAGGCGCGCAGGATGTATGTGTTCGGCGGTCACGCAGAGCAGCCAGCGCACTGCACGTTCTCCAGCGTGGAGCAGGCGCGAATCTCGAAGCGGCCGCTGGGGCACTCGGAGCACTCCAGCGTGCACTCGCGGTTGGAGTCGAGCGTGGGCACCTGGCTCTGGAAGGTGCCAAACTCGCACTTGCTCACGGCCATGCGGGGAAATGTACTCTGAGGCAGCGCAACGCGACACGGGCACGCACGTGTCCTGGACGTACTTGCGGCAGGGGCGGTCGTGCTGGCGTGTGGGTTTGCAAAGCGAATCTCTTCCCTCGCCCGGGCCGCACTGCGTGACGGGGCGGCATGACTCGGCCTGGCCGTCGACGGGCTTGAAGGTGGCGCCAACCTCGCACTGGCTGCACACGCAGGTCGCTCGTGGGGGTGGGCTCGGCTGTCTCCTCCTCGCCGGCGTCGCACGTGGTGACGGGGAGACAGGGCACGCCCTGGCCAGAGACAGCCTTGTGCGTGCCCTCTGTGCACTCGTCGCAGACGCGGTCGCTGATGAGGAGCGTCATGGCCTGCACCTCTTCATGCCCGGATGCGCACTCTGTGACGTCCATGCACGTGGTGGTGGGGTCGCTGTCGTGGTGGTGGTGGGTGCCTGCGCGGCAGGTGAAGCTGGAACAGGAGCCGTGGCAGCCCGCCTCCGTGTAGTGGCCGGCGGGGCACATCTGGCAACCCGTGGAGCCGTCGCTGTCCTCGTCGATGGTGCCCGGGCAGTCGCGCACACGCGGTCCAAGGAACAGCAGGTTGGCGCGGAGACCTCCTCCTGGCCGCGCTCACACTCCTCAATGGGCTCGCACTTGCTGCCGCCAATGGATGGGGAGAACTCCGTCACGCTGTCGCACGGCCGACAGTCGGCCGAATCGGCGTCGTAGACAAGGATGAAGCCAGCGCTGCACTCGCACGTGTCTGTGCAGCCTGGGCAGGAGCGGCGTGCCTCGTAGGCGTCCATCTGGCGAATGGTGTCGCGGATGCCATCCTCGCCTTGGCCGGAGCAGCACACGTCAAGCACCACGTCGAGCTGCTCGTCCGTGGGCTCGGCGCACACAATCTCCTCAAACAGTTGCGTGATGAGCTTGTTGCAGGTGAGCGTGTCGCAGGAGCACAGGCGGTCCGTGGTGAGCGTGGGCGGGATGGTCTCGATGAAGGGCTCCTCGCACACGCTGGTGGGGAAGCACGAGGCGCGGTCCGGCAGCGGCTGGTACTCCATGCCAAAGGGTGCAGCTCACGCACGCACGATCATGCACGGCGTTGCCAGAGACTGACTCCTTCTGACCCGGCTTGCACTCGGTCCAGGGAGAGCAGACGACGTCGAAGGACGCGGAGCATGAGGTAGAGGCCCAAGTGCACATGCCGCACGTGGTGCATGGCACGCAGCGGTGGTCCTTGGCGTAGAAGTAATCGAGAGGGCAATGGGCAATGCACGACTGGTGAGATTGCTGTCGCAGAGGAGGCAGTCGGTGGCGCCCGGTGGGGTAGCACTTGGCACACGCGTGGAGTGGCACTCGGCACACCCGTTGGCCGAGCTCATACTCGCCATCGTCGGGGCACTCGCTGATGCAGCGGCCGTTACTGGAGGGAGGGTTGGGTCCGCAGGCCGTGCACTCAACGATGTCTGGAGAGGAAGGGTATGGAGGTGGAGGGGAACATGGGGTGAGAGGCAATGACAACACTGTTGTGAGTATTGAGGAACCATGCACCGCTTCATCTCCTCAAGGACACAAAACTAAGAAGAGACATTGAGGACAAGCGCGCGCGCACACACACACACACACACACACACACACACACACACACACACACACACACACACACACAGCCAACATAAGTCAACATACCATTGGTCCGTGATGAAGCTATCCTTGAGGATCCGCCGCACGGTGTTGTGCGCCGTGTTGATTGTCATGCGGTTGTGCTTCACAGCCTGCTCCAAGTGGCCGTTTGTGGTGAAGTATGTCTCTCCGAGCTCCATATCCGCGCTGCCGTTCAGCGTCTTCGCGACAGCGTCGACGGAACTCGTGGGCGTACGTGTTGGCGTTGACCATGTTTGCAAATCGCACCACAGTCTGTTCCAATCGTCACCATGTCACGCTTCCACTGCCCGCACACGACGTCGTTGAGCAGCATGTTATTCGCACACGGCGAGGACACGCCGTTGATGCTGGCGTACGAGCACATGGCAGCAAGCGCCCGCGCTTGTACTGCACATGAGACATACGGCAGAGGGGAGCGGGATGAACATAAGGAAGTGGGAGGTGAGGGGATGTGGCAGGTCTGGTGGCGTGGACGAACTCACAAGAAATGTTGATTGGAGATACACGAGCTGACACAGACAGACAGACAGACAGACACACACACACACACACACACACACACACCTCGGTGTCCCAGAGGTCAGAGGTGGAGATGTTCCCGTTGAATGCCACGCGGTTGTCTCGACCGAGTGCGCGTTAACGTGCTTGAGACCTAAAACGCGATGGAGTGGTGACAGCAGTGTAAATGACACGACTGCCACGAAGTGCAAATGAAGCAGCGTCGCTGACACGATTGTGGGCAATTGCACACACGCACGTGTGTGAGGTTTAATGCGTGTGCGTACCTGCTGTCATTTTCTTGTACTTCCTGTCTGGGCCGTCCTGGCAGCCGGCCACGTAAGCAGCAGCGTACTCGCCGCTCAAGCAGGGGTCTCAGAGGTTGAGAGGGGTGCAGTAAAGGTGAGAGGGTGGGCCTGCAAAGTGAGTGAGTGAGTGGGTGAGTGTGAAGGGGGGTTGGGGCTATGCGTGCGACTGTTGCAGAGTGATCGCATGGGTGTGATGTGTGCACCAGCGTCAGCAACACGTGATGAAAGGGCACCTGTGCTTTTGAGTACGATCTTCTGCAAGACGCTGCCACCCCTGTGCCGGCTGAGATTGTTGAAGGCGCGCATCTCTGTGGATATGACCTGGAAGTGAAGGACCAGTGGCGGGACGAGGGGTGGGGAAATGAACGACAGGAGCTTTGATCAAGGAGAACCCGACATAGCAGACGCAAACACACACACACACACACACACACAGACACACAGACACACACAGACACACACACAAACACACTCACACACACACATTCGGTTGAAGGCTGCGCCAAGACTTTGGGGCTCAATGAACGTGGTGGCACACTTGTCCTGGCTGATGATGCACGCAGAGGCAACGGCCGTGTTCGTCTCCACCAGATGCAGATACGGCGGGATGGCGAGCCTGCAACCCATGCACACACACATGTGAGCATGAAGAAGGAGGTGGTGTTGCTGTGTGAGCAGTGGTGGTGGCGGTTGATGCCGCTGTGGCACGAAGAAACGGGGAAGGGAAACACAACAAGACAGAGCCACGAGTCACTGCGTTGGTACTGAATGCCCTTTCCCACCTCTTGATGCCATAGTCGAGGAAGGCGCATGGGCTGGTGACGGGATCAGGGCCAATGAGACCGGCCTTCTCCTGAAGACTGAGGCGTCCAATGAGGTCGTCGAGGCGGGCACCGATGGACAGACTCGTGTTGCAAGAACGGCAACTCCCTCGTCGCTGCAGACAGGCACGCATGGCCTGACGAGGCAAGGTGCAACAGCAGTCACGTATGAGCTGAGAGAGAGAGAGAGTGTGTGTGTGTGTGTATTGTGATTGTTGTGTGTGTTGTGTGCGTGTGTGTGTGCATGTGTGTTGGAATCACCTGCGGGAACGGGTTTGCCGGAACAGTTTGCCCGGATTGATGTTCATGCGATTGGCTGCTCTGCACATCTCGGTTGACACCCCCGTGCATGGCTCGTTGCAGTCGGAGGAAGGCTGGATAAAAGTGTGTGTGTTGGGTGGGGGTGGGGGGAGTGTGAATGCTGGTCGCATACACTAATGTGTGCACATACACACACACACACACACACACACACACACACACACACACACACACACACACACACACACACACACACACACACACACACACACACCGCCGAGACTGCGCGGTGGAATTCAGCTTGGGTGTTCGCAGAAGCAGCATTGGTAGCCATACTCAACGGCGCTTGAGTGAAAAAGTTGAAGGTGTAGCAGAGCGTGGCACACGCCTCACGCGTCATGGACGTCTGCGCCATGTTGCCAGCAAGCGCAAACATCCAATTGTCAGCGAGGTGTGTGCGAGTGTGTGGGGGAGGGGAGGGGGGTTGGTAGGTGAGAGCAGCGATGGGACGAGGGGATGCGCACGTAAGCCGCTTCAAACACACACACACACACACACACACACACACACACACACACACACACACACCTTGATCTTGCTGCACTGGACTTGAGCTTGAGACGACGCTCGCCACAGTGGCTGAACAGCACACACAGCACACACACACCAACCAACAGCGGCGCTGTCTCTCTGTTCCACAAACACACACACAAATGTGTCGAGAGAGCGCTTTTTTGTTTTGTTACGTGCGGATGTGGCACCAACCCACCAGCAGCACTGTCACTGCCGTTGCACGCATTCTTGTCTTCTTGTCTTCTTCCCCACAAAACACAAACACAGAAAAATGCCGAGTCAGCACTTTCTTCTTTGTTGTTGAAAGGGGTTCACTGTTGTGTGATGGAAGGCAGACACACAGACACGCACAGACACGCACAAGCATGCACATGCACGCACACGCAGGGGCGAACGGCTTGACAAGGAGCAGTGCTCTGCGTGGAACGAAAGGGAAGAGGGTAACAACTGCTGTGCTGCTTGCGACCGGGACAAAAGCACGACAAGTGCACGGCAAGCCAGCCAGCAGGCAGTGAACAACCACAAACAGGTCTCCTTCTTGGCCCGTTTGCGTGTGCATGTGTGACATAAGCCACAAACACTGTCAGTCAGCCCACCGTCTGGCAACAGCATCCAAGATGTACTCGGCAAGGGCACTGGCAACTGCTATTGGGAATTGGTGGCGTCGTTACCAGCACCGGCCTCATCTACGGCATCCCTCCCTTTGATGCAACTCCCACCACCTCTGTGCTCATCATCAACCCATCAACAACAGCAACAGCAATGACAGCGGCGGTGACAGCGGCAGTGGATTACACGACCGCGAGGCGGTTGAGCCATGTGGGCACCGCAGACGGCGGCGTGCTGGCTCACAACACCCTCCCTTGCGGGTGTGACCTGATTGCAGCACGAGCACACCAGGCACCACCATGCTTGGTGGGCTGCGACACGGCGGATGCAAGTGGATCAGCGGCGTGGCTGCGGACAATGGCCTTTTCCTGCCACGGCATTTCATGCAACTCGCCATCCATCCTCATCGTCGATCCAGCCGCAAGTGCGGTGGACACAGCCATGCTGTCCGTTCCTAGAAGTGGTACGGTGGTGAGTGCTGGCTGGCAACGACTTGCTGTCATGTCCTCCTCGTTGATCCGCGGTCCTGACACAGGTAGGCGTGCATATGTGTGTGTGTGTGGTGGAAGAGGGGTGCATATGGGGTTGGCACTCACCATGTGCGACTGCTGATGCTTACACGCTTCATCAATCCTGTCTGTTCCATCTCATCACACCACCTCAGTGAATTCCACCACCCCGACGGCCTCGATGTGTCCATGCCACTCTTCTCCATGGTGACATTCATTCATTCATTCACACCGGAGCAGCGACGCGTTCCGTCCGCACAAACAGGAACATCCTCGTCACCTTCAGGTCTGTGCATGCGTGTGTGGTGTGACGTGGTGCGATGTGAGGTTCGATGTTCACTGTTGCTGCTGGGTTTTGAGGGGTTGGTGTCGCTCACTGCACCGCCACTTGCCCTTCTTGTGTTACTGCAATCTCACTCCAAACTTGTTGTGGTGCCGCTGTTTGACGTGTGTCTCTTCTTTCCCTGTTGTGCAGAAGCACGAAGTCTGCTCGCTCTGATGCCATGCGGAACCATCTCCCCAAGCTGCACAACGGCAGGTGTGGTGTGCTGCGCGTGTGATGTGTTGTGTTATCGTGTTCCGTGTGTGTGTCGTGCGTTGCCTCGGCGTCAACTAGTTTTGGTGCTGTGTGTGTGTGTCTGTCTGGATCCACCACACACACACACACATCGCCTGTGTTTGTGCGCGTTTGCAGGGACATTGTGTTGGTGTGCGCGTGCCGGTGGTTTGGCGAAGAGCGCATGGGCCGTGAGGGGGAAGGTTGGATATGACCCATCGTGTAAGCAGGCAGAGGAAGAGTTCAACAAGTACACGTACACGGAGCTGGCGCTGGAGACCAAGTTTGGGCTCATCGTGGAAGGATTTGGCTATCACCCCTTCAGGTGTGTGTGTGTGTGTGTGTGTGTGTGTGTGTGTGTGTGTGTGTGTGTGTTGCAGACGATTTCGGACCTGTTGGTGCTCATCACCACCTTCCATCTCCTGTCACCCCCCTTTCATGCCTCATAGATCATGGCTGCGGGTGCCATCCCCATCATTGTCGTCAATCACTACGTGCTGGTGCGTATTGGTGGATTTTACATTGTGTGTGTGGTGTGGTGTGTGTGTGTGTGTGTGTGTGTGTGTGTGTGTGTGTGTGTGTGGAGATGTGTGTGTGTGTGTGTGTGTGTGTGTGTGTGTGTGTGGAGATGTACTCCCCGTCGCTCATGGTGACGTGATGTTATGGCGTTTGCTTTTTGCACACCTGCAGCCCTACCAGGACCTGCTGGACTGGGAGACGTTCAGCATTCGCATTCCCCGAGCACAGGCTCCTTGAGGTGTGGTGACAGATCGTTGATATGGGCATGTGAAGTGATGCGTGAGCGGGTGATGTAGTTTGATGGGGATTGTGGTTGTGATGGCTTGCATGGCACGTCGCTTACACACTCACGCACGATCACACACACACACACACATACAACTGCGGTTAGCTTCCGAGGATCCTGCGGTCGATCCCTGATGAGGTGGTGGAGATGATGCAGAGACGCGTTGTGTTTGTGTTTGAGGAGTTCTTCAAGTCCCTCTCCACCCAAGTGCACACAGGTGAGGGAGTGTGGTTGGGACAGGGGCCTGTGCAGTGAGTGTGGCAACGTGTGCGGTGTAGTGTGTGCGTTGCTCGCTTGTTCTCATGTCCATTCAACCACTCCCACCATCTGCCAACTCGTGTGTCTTGTCTGCGCTATTTGCTGCTGTCAGCGCTGGAGTCTGCCAGGATCAACCTGTTCAGCGGCGACAACGCCTGACAGGTGAGTGTGTGTGTGTGTGTGTGTGTGTGTGTGTGTGTGTGTGTGTGTGTGTGCGTGTGTGTCGACGTGCGTGTTCTCTTCTCCACCCATCCACACGCCGTCATCACCACCTCCTCATTTTCTCATGTGTGTTTGCTGACATCCTTCCCTTCCCATCCTCAACACCGGCACCAATACCACCCTCCACGCTTGCTTCTCCTTCCTTCTGCTGTCGCCACACATAGGGCCCTTGAGCCAGCAGATGTCACCCCTCCTGCACCAACCACCACTGCTCTGATGGGATGAACAGACGAGCGCTGCCATGCGATGACCATCCAGCCACGCTTGTGCGGCTGTGGAAGCAGCAACACCAACACACACAAACAAGCAAGCGATGAGCAACGTGAGCGCATCACTTTACATGTATGTGTGTGTGTGATGTGCACCGCACCAGTGTGCGTATTTTGTGATCGCTGTCTCTGCTGCTCCTGTCTCCCCTTGTTGTCCCACATCAATGTACATGCATGTGTGTGGTGCGGCTGCCTGTTTTGCCTTGCTTGATGCGCTGTCTCATTCGTCATTCTCACACACGACTGCCTGCACACCTGCACATTCTCCACCTTGCAGCTGCTGCTTATATTCCCCTCTCTTTCTCGGCCTCCCTGGCGGCCATCACAACAACAGCAGCAGCAGCAGCAGCAGCAGCCAACACACCCTCTACCGCCAATGCAGCAGCAGCAGAGAATGCACCACCACCACCACCACTTGCTGCTGAACACATTCCCCAGCCAAACAACCAAGCAAGCAAGCAACCAACCCATCGCCCGCTGCTGCTGGCGGAAGCTGGCTGTTTGCAGCTGGGAACAGGTGGCGACAGCACAAGTTGCATTTTCGGCTGGAAGCAGCAGCAAGCAGAGGTGAGGGCGAGAAGAAGAGGGGAAGGGAGAGGAGATGCGTGTTGGATGGATGGATGGATGAGGTGGGGTGGGGGATGCTGGGTGAGTACGGTGTGGTGTGACTGGCTGGCTGGTGACAGAGGACGGTGGTGTGTGGTGGTGGTGTGAGGAAGAGGGATGGATGGATGGAATGGGGTGCAGCATGTCTTGTTCCCCTCCCTTCTGTTGTCTGCTTTCTCTCCCTTCCCTTTCTTCTTCACACAAATGCATGCACACCATCAGCAGTGGCAGCAGCGGTGTAGCTGCGCACATATTCATGCTCCCTTCCTCCCTCCCACGCACTCACCATGCTGGTGCTCGCACACAACCACACACTTACAGGTGATGCGCACGCACAAGCATCAGGATGAGGGAAATGTCAAGGATACTTGTCACGCGTGCCAGCTGCACTCGCCTCACGCATGGCATGTGGGTGATGATGAGTGGTTGTTGGTTGTATGATGGGGCTGTGATGGTGATGGGGTGCGGTGAAATGAACAAGGAAGAGGGTTGATGGGGATGATGGTCACATTCACTAACACACACACAAACACATACGCGCACACGTGGTGCGTGTGACGTCAATCACTCGTTCTGCTATGCTGACGTGATGGCTTGCTGTCTGCCTGTTGTGTTCTGTTCCCACCCACGTTGCCTGCAACCACGCACATGCACAGGTGCTGAGGTACCAGCACACATCAGGATGTTGATGGATGTGGGCTAGCATGCCGGCTGCTGCTGCTGCAACTTCCCCGATTCGGCTGCCGCTGTTGTGCTCATGCAGCGTTCCCACATGTGAGCAAGGTGAGCCCATCACGCATTCATTGGTTGGCACATGGTGCATGTGTTGCCGTTGCTGCTGTGGGTGCCTGTTGTTGCTGCTGCTGTTGGATCCCGTACAGCAGAGTAGCTGTGCAGCTCACATGCCATGTGTGCTTGCGGCTGTAGGGAGCGACTGCGTGAGGATCGTTTGAGGATGATGGGCGATGCACACATGATGGATTGGAGGAGCAGCTGCGGACACACACGTCCATGGTCATGGCGGGCACATCCAACCACAGCGACGCAATAATGTGCAGGTGTGTGTGTGTGTGTGTGTGTGTGTGTGTGTGTGTGTGTGTGTGTGTGATGGGACGAGGAGGAGGAAAGCAAAAGAGAGGGGGCAGCAGGAAGGTGAACACGCTTGCTGTGCTCACATGCCATGTCTGTACCTTGTGTGTGATGATGTTGTCGTTGTGTCTTGTCGTTGTGTGTTGGTTGCATGCGCACCAGTGCCACATCAGAGGAGGGGAAAGCAGCCGCCATGAACGACACATCATCATCATCGCCCTCCCCATTTCTCTCTCCTTTTCCTCTCTTCCACCTCAGCTCCGCTGTCGTCGCCATCACCATCGCCATTGACTGCACAGCCGCCATCACACTCCAGCCGACACCAGCCCCAATCTGGCGTGAGGCAGACATTGCACATGTCAGTCGCTCTGATGAATGTGCGTGTGTGTGTGTGTGTGTGCATGGTGGTGATGGTGAGTGGGGACAGCATGTGTGCGTGCGTGTGATTGTGTGTCAGTGCGGGTGGTTGGATGGGGATGGCGTGTGGCTGATGATGCTTCGCTGTCAACCTCACCCCCTGCATTCTCTCCCATCTTGTGTCCGTGCACACACACACACACACACAATTCACAGCGTTGGCGAGGCGCATGAAGCGGTAAAGCCAACGATGATGACAATGACGACGAGTGATGAAGGTGAGAGGGGGTGACTGAGATGTGTGCGTGTGTGTGTG